GATCAGAGAGGTTGAATGGCTCATTAAAGATCAGACTGCTCAGCAATGACTAGAACTTGTGTCCGGTTGATGGCCTTCCTGCTTGAATCACTATTGAGAAATTCACAGCTCTCGGGGAAGTTGTGCGTCTAGCTTCAGTGCTTTGGGGAAATGCTCGTAAAGGCGTTTGCCTTTCCTTCATTTGGCTGTAAAAGGGTAATTTCTTACAGAGAGAACACCTTCCCATGTGGAACTCTTTAAAGAGTCAGATAATCTGGATAGCTGACTTAATTTTCGAGCATCTCAGAAGAATTTTGTGACCGTGGCTTTAGATGCTGTGAGATTAGAACCAGATATTCCCGGCACCTGGCACAGAGGAAGCACTCAGTGACTAGTTGTTGAATAAATGACCTTTCCATAATCTGATTAAAAGGAATCAGACTCACGGAATTAGGATTATCTAGTGCAGATTGAGCTTCATGGGCCTTGGATGAGCTCAGTTAGCTTTTAAAATTAAATTCATTTGGATGACTCTCCATGTTTATCACTAATGACTTAAGCATCAGATCCTCGGTTTAAAAATAAGCTTTTGAAAAAAAAAAAAGGTTTTGTAGCCACACGTATTGTTCTCACATAAACTTCGACTTTGAGTTTAAAACATGATGCTCATTTGTCCTGCTAGCCTTTTGAGGGGTAGATATCTTCATTTTTGTTTGTCTATAAGGTGATGATTGCAGATTCAATTACTTCTAAGAGGCTGAGGATCTGGGAGTCATCTTAAACAATGTAGAAATACCCCTCAGGGAGTGTGTGCAGTGAAGTGACTACAGTCTTCCTTTTGCATTTTTTTGAGAAGATTTATTAAAATAATTTCAATTAGCCAAGCTCTGCTACATTTTCTTTATTGGAGTTTCAGTTTATTTATATGGGTATACTGTATAAATATACATTTTTTCCCCCGATAGGATATTTCTATAAATGCCTTAAATGATATTGTTGTGGGCTTAATGTCTGGAGTCTTAGCGTGGTTGATAACTAGTAATTTTAATTTAAGATGTCTCAAGAATGCTTTACTGTTAATTGAAAGGATTTTTCCCCCAGTATCACAGCCAATGGCTTGTCTTGAGCAGCTAATTAGTGCGATTATTCCACAGCTGCATTTGCTACAGCACAAAGGTTTGCTCCTGTTTTTATCAAAAGGATCAGTCTCTCTGGGAATGTTTTAACCTGACAGGCTTTGAATAGTAAGACCGTTTATTTATTTATTTTTTAATAGCTACTCCCCCCTTCTTTTCTTGGTTCAAAAAACTACATTTGAGCTTTGAACACATACTCAAAAGCGGGAAAATACATTCGCTTTTTATGCACTTTTCCAGAGCCTTACCTGCTAAATATATTATTTTGGGTAACGTCTAGGTATTTTTTCTGTGTGCTTGAGTGCATCATATTAAAATAATAAGCAGGATATTAACGTTGTTCAATCTGTGTGCGTCTGTAGGAAACTGTGAAGGAAAAAGGGTTTAAGTCTTCTGGAATGCTCAAGACATGCAAGAGAACCAATGCCCTGGGTACCATCATCACTTTCCCTTCCTACTGTCAAAATACAGTCTGCGATGTACCCCATCTCTTTTGTTCCAGGCAAAGGGGGACTTTGATTATTCAAGTCATTCCTTCATGTTTGCAGATTAGTTCATGTTCATCTTGTTCTTAAATTAGTGACACGTATTCTGCCATTGAAAAGACTGTTATGGCTTTATTATAATTTGGGGGGGGACTAAAAAAAAAGAACGAAAGAAGTTTATCTATAATTCCACTTTCCATCTGGCAGCTAAGATGACATTTATACAATCCCCGCTAAGCATGTGTATTTGTGTACATAAACACACTTTACTTATTTTAGACTAAAACATAAATACACTTTTATTTCCTACTTTTGTTCTTGTTATATACATTTTTCACTTTGCTCTGTAGTTGTACAGTTTCTTAAAAAATAGTAGTATGTGATATATATATATATATATATATTCACCTATTATAATTGTTTTTTAACCTATTTTACTCTTAAATATTTTAAATGGCTTTATTTTCCCCCCAACTTTACTGAAGCATAATTGACAAAAATTGCATACATTTGAGGGGCATAACATGATGACTTGGTATATGTACACGTTGTGAAATGATTACAGTCAAGCTAATTAACATATCCATCACATCGTTGCTATTTATTTTCCTTTTTTGCCGTGAGAATACTTAAGATCTACTCCTCCACCACATTCCAAGTGTACAATATGGTATTAATTCTAGCCGCCATGATGAACATTGAATCCCTAGAACTTGATCTTATTCCTCAAAGTTGGTGCCTTTTGACCAGTATCTCTCCTTACAATTTAATGATAAAGTAATCACTCTCATATTCAGGCAAAATTTTAGGTGGTTCGAAATATTTTGCAATTTGTCAATAGCTTTGTGATGTCAGGTTTTCCACGTTTTGAATTGTGTTCTTAGGAAAATTGTCCATGGATGTCATTTTTGAGTCATATTCTATGAACAGTATTACAGCTTTTTGATAATACTGTTTTACTCATGCTTTTCTCAGTATGGTTTTCTTAAAGGATTGTAATAATACATATCCGCAGTGGCTCAGACTAAAATGATCAGTACACTTTTTCTGGTAGTGAATATTTTTTTAATTGGGTCATACTGTGAATACTTTTTTTGTAGCTGCCTTCTGTAAGTTTGTTATACTGTGTAGTTTTTATTCCAGTCACAAATCTATTTCTTCACCATTTTTAATGGCTGCATAGTATTACATTATATGAACCTGTTATGATTTCCTGTACTAATTTCCTGTGGTGAGTGTAGTTTTTATTACGTAGCTTTCTGGAACCGTGCAAGGGAGAAGCACAAACATCTTTTCATCCGTTAGCATGTGCAGAGTTTGAAGGTTCCTATCTTTTTTTTTTTTTTTTTTTCCAACGTTTATTTATTTTTGGGACAGAGAGAGACAGAGCATGAACAGGGGAGGGGCAGAGAGAGAGGGAGACACAGAATCAGAAACAGGCTCCAGGCTCTGAGCCATCAGCCCAGAGCCTGATGCGGGGCTCGAACTCACGGACCGCGAGATCGTGACCTGGCTGAAGTCGGACGCTTAACCGACTGCGCCACCCAGGCGCCCCAAAGGTTCCTATCTTTTAAGGAGTTCATAAGATCTGCCAATGGCTTGAAGGCCTTATTTTGCCTTTTGTTGGAAGGTAAAGAAAATACTGGGATTTATACTCAAGGAAGGAAGCTAAAACTACTCATGCTTCATTTGAAGAGGGACTTCCTTGGGAGTGACTGTTTTCTCAAATGTCACTTTTTTCCTGTTTCCAGGTACTAAGGTTTTGTACTGTTAGCCCTAAGCAGAGACTTTTTTTTTTTTAAGAATGGTATATTGCTGGAAATAAACAACCGAAAATTCTAGCTGATAATAATAGCCATGACAAAGCTTTATTGAGGCAGCACTACATGGCACTCATTATACTAGACAATTTATGTGTATTGTTTTATGTATTATATTATTTAATCCTCACAAAATCCCTGAGAGGTTGGCTCGTAAAATGTAAGTGATGTAAGAGAAGTTTTAAAAACACCTCCCTCTTTGATAAATGAGTAAGTGTGTAAAAAACTATTATTATCCCTCCTTTCCGGATACGGTAACTAAGGCAGAGGGAGGTTTAATAACTTGTTGATGCTATAGAGCTGGCAAGATAAGCAGTCACAACCCATATTTAGGAAAATTAGGAAGTCTTTTCTTCCTAACATAGGACTGGTGTTTAAGCTTTTTCTGTAATTTTGGATAGAGCAAGCACCAAAACCATTAGAAGTAGGCCGCATGGGGAACTCGCAGACACATGTAGGAGAGAGCTTGCCAAGATGAATCAGGAGAAAAGACGGCACAAAGAAAACCAGATGGAGAATAGGGTTGTCAAACCGGCTCGTCCTCTGCCCC